ATTTGGTTTTTGGTCATCTGAACGCGGGTGGAGCCGCGGGCAATACTAGTATACTTATATATTAATGTTACACTAGTATAGTATTATAAGATCTGTGATGTTACGTACTGAGACCCAAAAGTGCGAGCGACGGACGCGATGTCCGAACAATCCGAGCTTTTTATAGATTTTGTTGTATTTTTTAGACATGAAGTCGATATTTTTTTACATAAAAATCTAGAAAATTGCAATGTTAGGAACACTGACAGACAGATGTTTATTTTTAATATTGCTTTTAGTTTTTTTTTGAAATAAAATGTAAGTGAACAATTAACTAAATGTCTAATTTAGGCATATGTATGCTTTATACATAGTTGTTATTAGTTTAATATGTGCTTGATTTGCTTTTTAAAGCACAATAATTTATAAAAGAAAAAAATTATATGTATGTAGTACGCTATTTTCTTCTAACGTGGTACTTATAAACGTAATACATATATACATATGAAAATATTTCTTTAATATGATAAGGTCACCGACAACGTGATGGCGTCATTTTTAAGTTAAAACACCAATGTCATAATTTAACTTTATTTTTGACTACTTTGCGAGAACTCTAGTTACCCAATAGAATTCATAGAAACAACAATATTGGGTGATAATTAGTAAGTCCATGTAGGGAGTGATCAACTTAAAAGGGTTGTATGTTAAATAAAGCAGCTACGGCGTCGTCGAGGTCGGTACTCATCGGATTGCGGCAGTCGACACCGGTTTCATCTCGCAAAAATGAACCGCCCGCTCAAGTCGCAAAGACAATGGCATGCACTCTTATTAACCAGACTATTACAATTACGCACTGCGATCTCATTGTGACTGAAATGCTTGAATGGTATTTAATTACCATTCAAAACATAATAAGTTAACCAATCAAAAAGCGATTTAAGTTATTCATTATATATCGTAAGTTTTCAGGTGATTTTATAGCTTTTATTTTTATACTAGCGGCTCACCCTCGCTTCGCTCGGGTTCGCCTCTAGAAAAACACTAATAAAAATCTATTAGTTCCCACGGAACCGTTCAATTTTCCCGGATGAAAAGTAACCGGTTGTTTGACCGGCAATATAAGGTATCAGAATGTTAAATTTTACTAAATTAGGTGCATAAGTTGTATAAGTTATAATAGTTTTTTAACTATCCCACGGGAACCATTATATTTTCCGGGATAAAAATATCTAAGACGTTGTCCGGGGATATAAGGTACCACCATGCAAAATTTCATTTAAATCGGTCCAATAGATTCGGAGATTAGCCCGTACAAACAGACAAACAGACAATATCACACGGGAACGCAGTCGAACGGGATAAAAAGTATCCTATGTCCGTCTCTGGGTTCTAAGCTACCTCCCCGCCAATTTTCAGCCAAATCGGTTAAGCCGTTCTGGAGTTATAAATAGTGTAACTAACACGACTTTCTTTTATATATATTTATTTATTTATTTATTTGGAAGACAAACAGTATTATGTTACATATTATAAACAAAAGAAATAAAAAAAATACATACACCAATTAAGTCTTCACCGTTTACACATTCTTAAGGTAGGTATATGTTAGCTTATTAAAATTAAAAATTAAAGTATATAACAAAAAAAAAACGGGGAAATCACGAACAGACACTTCTGGTTAAAATTTTGAACTTATTTAAAGAAAGGGAAAATAAATCTATGTCATTAAATATTTCATTATGCAATCTGCAAGAACGGTATATAAAGCTATTACGTGCATAATTAGTTGTTATTCTAGGTAGATAAAATAATGACAAATTACGTGATTGCGGATAAAAATAATAATAATAAGGTATCAGAATGTTAAATTTTACTAAATTAGGTGCATAAGTTGTATAAGTTATAATAGTTTTTTAACTATCCCACGGGAACCATTATATTTTCCGGGATAAAAATATCTAAGACGTTGTCCGGGGATATAAGGTACCACCATGCAAAATTTCATTTAAATCGGTCCAATAGATTCGGAGATTAGCCCGTACAAACAGACAAACAGACAATATATCAGTTTATAGATTAAAATTGCTAGTGAAGATGCGTGTGAATATTATTTATTAGTTTTAATGGAGTGTTAGGAGTTATGTGACAATCTACAATCTAACTTATTAAGAAATTAAAACCTTTTTTTAAACGTCAATTATACCTATCTGTAGTTTTCAGTTTTATATTCGCGTTTTACGTCATTTTATCTCTAAGTCCGTAAGCCCGCCATTATCTATATTCGAAATCAAATTGCTATTTTAAATTTAATCAAATTGTTATTATGCGATTTAATTCGTCTTCTCAAATAATTATAGAATTTGTTTATATGTAATAAGGTAATTAATAAATAATCCTACTATACTTACAGTCATAGAAAATTAAAAGCTTGCAATGAATTACAATTTACAATATATTTTTAAAGTACGGTTGCCACCACGGAAAGCTTATTACGGGGCGGAAAGTTCCATAGGTTAGTTTTCATATCAGATGGTTCCCGTATCGCAAAGTATAACAATTGTACAAGTTTATTCATGTATATAAAAGTTAACACCTGTATAAACGCATTCAAAAGTTATATAGAGGCATGATTAAAAAAATCCCAGGGTTGAAAAAAACGGCTTATTCAAACACCGCTATTTTTTTCTGAAAATTGGAATATAGTATATATACCAGCTTTTTTTATGCCACTACTTTAATAGTTTATTTCATGAAACATTTTTATTATTTTCTTATATAATTGGTTTTTTTAACTTATTTGATGCATTATTTAAATATTAAGTCCTTTAATATATACCTACTCACAACCAAGTCGGATATAACGAAACTTCGTACATTATATGTTTCACAAATGACACTATACTAACAGATGCAAATGCCCTATCGGCTATATCCCATACAAAGAAATTAGTTAGCCTTAAATACAGGCTATTCTTTTTGCTTCGACGCCGATGACGCTGATGATGGTCCTGTTTTTGTTGAACTGATTTTAAAATCTACTTACATATATAATACGTGCTCATAAGTAGTATAATATGCAAAATATAACAAAATTCATTTAGGATTCAATAAAAAAAATTACGTTACTGTAATCGTTTTTATCCATATTATTCCAGTCATGAACTCATAAAGTATAAACAGCGCCATCTATGATTACGCACTACTAACTCAATTACTAAAGTTAAAATAAATGTCAATAGATGGCATTACGTGTATCGATTTGTTATTATTGTGTAAAGTTAACAAAAACCAAAAGGTAACAAATTTATATGGAAAATGTATGTTTTTAAAAAAAATCGTATGTGAGATAAAGCGAAATAATAAGTTCGTAAACGAAATTTACGTAACTTTACAGATTATTGAAAAATTAGCAATCAGATTATGAGTTTGTGGTGCACACACGTGTGGTGTGGTTTTTTAATAAAATAATTAAAATACGAGTTTTGTAATAGTTGACATCATGAACGAATTAGCCACAATTCGATCACGGTTGACATATATTACACATATGTATTTATAAAATAAAATAGTTTGAAAGATTGCGGATCAACGACATCTATTATCTATTCAAGCAAACAAAAATCACCCAGAAATCATAAGTGTTCAAATGGGATGGGGCATCTGTATTAGTATAAAACTTATTGTGTGATTTATTAATAATTGCATGAACATTAAAATCCCTAAGTCATTTACAAAGCATACTAGATTAAATTATTTATAACATGTTTTGATAATTTTGCTGTTTTGTAACAAGTCTTATTTTTTTTTTTGAAATGCATTTACGCACGAAGTGTGGGACTCACCGGCAAAGCCAGTACTACCCACTAAAACCCAACAAAGCCTTCCCCCGTCTTTATGGGGCGTCGCAGGATCGCTTACGCATTCAACTACGACGCCCCGACGGCAGGTCTGCCGAAGCAGACCACAACAACCACGGGGTTGCTCCAAGGTCCACTTTGCTATCAGAGAAGTACCAGGAGCAACTCGCATGGAACACCGCCCTCCGAAGAGGACCGCCTCCCACTGCCCACCGAAGCGGGCCACCTACCTTTGCGTTTCTTGGCTTCGCGCCCGGCTGTATTGCCGGGCACTACTGAACAACCCCCCCCCCCCCCACCACGACAAGGTGAACGCACGTTGGGAGGGACATACATGTCAGCTAATTTTAACAACTTTTGGAATTTGGTCCACAAATGACTTTGTCTCCAAATTTAACACACTAGCTTAAAAAAATGCACTTCTTACTTCAAAAACTTAATGCAGAAATTATGAGCGATTCGTATTGATTAAATGAGTTAAATGTTTTTTTTTAATAAATTGATGGATAGTTCTTCTTGATAGTCCTTGCACCGCCTGTTACTGAACTCACCGATTCATTCGCCGATAAATGAAATTATATGAAAAAAAAAACTGTTTTATCTAAATTAGTGATCCACATTACTTGACATAGCCCGCCGAATCTCCAAGTTGAAGTCTGTGAAGTGAAGGCTGTGAGCGGAATACATTGCTCATAGAACTGAAGGTCAAGAGGGAACCACATATGGCATGAGCCTTCCACTCAATGCGGTGTGCTAGAGGTTGACGTGAAAATCTTTGGGACATGCCTATGTCCAGTAGTAGATGCTTTTAGCTCCGGTCATGATGAATATTTAATTAACAAACGTATTGTAATAGTTTTCCAAATAAAGTTTAGTTAACTATCATTAAATTAATTTTTGCTAATATTATTTCTTAACAGTTATACAAAAAAGTCCATGTTATCTATCTAACCTTTATATTTTAGTTAAAATACTTGTAGTATATTTTTCTATAGGTTATATTTAGCTCATCTGTTTTAAATACATAAGAATAAAATGAAGAGAATGATTGAGCAGATAATAGATACAAGAAAGTCTAAAAATAAAATACATAAATTCCACAAAAATACTTTATTGTATCATTGTGTTGTTTTAACTTAACCTAAGTGAAAGTTCCGTCTACTTAAGTGGGATGAACCTGGAACTGTGAGTAGCACCAATACCGGGTCTACCGTGCTTGACAGGCTTGTATGTGACAGAGAATTCACCTAGATAGTGACCAATCATCTCAGGCTTGATTTCAACCTGGAATAAAGAAAATTACAATTAAACATAAAATACTAATTGTGCCTTGTGTGTGCTGTTTTAAATTTACTTGATTATAAACTCAATTTTACAATAATGTATGGAAGTCTGCCTAATTTGTTGACATATATGATTACTGCTCCGCTTCCTTGAGTAGTTGCATGATGATATTATATAGTCTATAGCCTTCCTCAATGAACATGACATCTAATGCATTAAGGATAGTTCCTGAGATTAGCACATTCAAACTCGTTTCTTTATAATATTAGCATAGATTTGAACATAAATACTTGAAATTTTAAATCTTTTATTGCAGTCATAGCTTATTCCTGATTTAAGAAATATTGATTACATACTTGAAATCTTTATTTATTTTCATAATGACACTATGGGACTGAACTATATAAATTTGTAAATGGCAAACTACACCAGTGGGCAACTAAGGCATTTAAAATATAATAATTTACAGATCGCTTAATTTATATAAAGTCAAACAATATTTTCTCTTTCTACTTTCCTTGAAATGTATATAAAATCTTATATACCCCAATTTTTGTACCATGACTAGTAATATATGTAATATTTCTATAATACTCATAAACTTAAAGATATGTTAATCGACCTCGCTTGCTACAGCATAGCTGAATTTATGTTGAAGTACATTCATAATAACAGCACACCGTGTTTTGTGTATGGAAGTAGTTTACTGAATACCTAAATAAACAAAAAATTGTAATGATTTTTGTATGTTTGGACATTTGTTACTAAAACAAATAGAATATAAATAACTGAATTTACGTAAAGATTGAATTAAAATAAAATGAAAATTTTAAACAAAACTAATAATATTGTAAAAGACAAAATGCTGTGTAATATGTAGAAATATCTTATAATTATGTAAAATAATGTAGAAAAAATGAATTCATTGTATGACCTGTAAATTCTTGTAATTTTATCAATAAAAATATCTCTATCACAATCTCAGTACAACATTATTGTATGTGTAAAAATTATCAATATAGACTATAATAGCTATTATCATAAGATTAATTAAATAACATTAACTTTTTACAAATATGGTGTTATCTATGAATGGTAAGATAGTATATAAAAGGCTCTAATTATTATTAATTAGGAATATAGAAATCTCATTGATAATCTTTGTTAAGTTCTGACAGTTTGTATCCTATCTGGGTAAGTATTTAGTTTCAAGAATGGAGAAATTGTTTCTTACACTACTGTAGTTTATTATCTTCGGATATATAATATTTTAGCAGTTTAAAGTATCTTATAACAAACCTGATTGAAAGTTTTTCCGTTGTAAATTCCAACAATAGATCCAACCATTTCAGGTACGATAATCATGTTCCGCAAATGTGTCTTGACGATTTCTGGCTTTTCATTTGGAGGTGCTTCTTTCTTTGCACGGCGAAGTTTCTTTACAAGAGCCATCGGCTTACGTTTCAGACCACGGGCAAATCGTCGACGAGCACGCCCATGCATCAACTCCATGAGTTGTTCACTAAAATATAAATGTTATAGTTTGAGACACAGGTTATGTTTTATTTCATTATATACATTTTAACTGTAAAAAATAAAGGCCCAATAAAAATTTTATATCTGCTTACTTTGGCATATCCAGAAGCTGATCCAGGTCAACCCCTCGGAAGGTAAACTTCCTGAAGGTACGCTTCTTCTTGAGAGTTTCATCTACCTGAAATACGTAAACAATTATGGTCACAAACAAAAAATAACACTGAGGACTATATCTCATAAAAACACATTTTGTTTCACTAAAATTCACTTCAATAATAAGACTCTGATTACTAAAATAAATTACGATTTTATTATTTTAATATTTCACTAACCTCAGCCATGTTTCTGTATGTTTGACAGAACCAAAAGAAAGAAATGGAAGACTTGTCATTTGTCAAGCACTCAAAGGGTTGCCATCCTTATCGCACAGTAACCTGCACGTAAAAAAAATGAAAATACTGTATGAGTGAAGTATCAAACTAAACGTCGACCTAAAACAGTACATTTAGTTTTTTTTTAATTTATATAATTTAATGTTAAAATAAATGAATTTGCAGAAATAATCGATTTTTACTAATTTATTCATTCATATTACTTAGTGCATCCACTATCTTGGTATTGGGCTTTTGAATGTGAAGGAGAAATCACTAATAGCTACATTTATTTTGAATAATTTTACGTATGGGCTATGGCTTTGTGTTTTTATTCTCAATTTCAAAACCATTTAAGTTTTTTAGTCATTTACAGTATTTTAATTTTTAAGTGTTAATACTTTTACTCGTACAAAAAAGTATGATTGTATCATAATAAATTATAATCCACTTAAAATTTGTTCATAAAGAGCTAGCTTTGACAGTCAATATTACCGATACTCTCGGTATAGATACCCAGTGAACAAGTATAACGTGCGCAAGAAACTTAATGGGCCTAAAATTATTATATATTTTTTTTGGTTGTTTGAACATGCTAAAGCAAGCGAAGCCGCGGGCAAACGTTAATATAATATATAAATAGAAAAATTTTATTATACCTTTCATTCTAAAGTTAAATTCATACTTAATTAGACTAATTTTATTTAAGATGATGGAATATCTTATGATTTTCAAAGGTATCTATGGTAATTGGCAACTTTTGTCACAATGAGGGCTATAGTTTCAGGTGGCACTAGCTGGAGCCACTGGCGAGTGAGGTCCAACAAATTAGATATAACAATTATAATTGTTAGATATAAATGAAATATTGATTTTTTCTTAACTCCTCTTTTAAACCAATAAGATTTATTGTGCCATGCCATATCTGTCTCGTGTCTGCCATAATTAATAAGGAATAGCACAATAGTCATGAATATTACGCTACATTTACACGCTTGCCGAGGCTAGGCAAGCGTCCATAAGCTCCAAGCCTTTACAACGCTTGGACGCCATTTACACACTTGCGAGTTGCGACTTGCGAGTGCATTAGTCTTTCAGACACGCAAGCTGTGCAGACGTAGACGTTGAAGTTGTGTCGACTATTGCGTTTGGCTTGATATATTTTTAACTATACCTACATATAATAAAATTGTAACTAAGCTGAATCTGTACATTAAATATTTTTTTGGAAAATCTTATTGAAATAGACATTATAAAGAGCTTGTGAGCGAGAGCGACACTACACGCACCAAAGTATAAATACGCCACAAGCTTCTTTTGATCTGTGTTCAAACACCGACACTATATATAGCATAGCCCGCATCTCGACAAGCTCACGCAAGCCAAGCTTAAAACACCCCGTTCACACGCATGTTTGTGAACGCTTGTCGAGACTTGCCAAGCGTGTAAATGTAGCGTTAGTGAAAATCCGCGATAAAAAGCTAAATGCAGTAAGCGTTCAGTACCATTTGATATTTCTAGAGACCTCACTCTACACTAGCGCCCTCTCACAACAAATTCAAGCGCGGTAGCTATCAATATTGTAAAAACATTATGCTTATAACTCTTTAGAAATTAAATAATAATAATTGGTAACATACAATCATATTTTAATTTTTTACAGTCTGTAAAATAAAGGGTCATAATAAAAAAAAAATAAGGCTTGATTTTTTTAGTTTGTATTTATATATTCATTTGTAGATTTCAATAACTTTGATAATCGTTTTCCAATCAATTTGGGATATGTGTTTGACTTTATTAAAAACTCTTTTGATTGGTGTGTTACTGCTCCATTTTCCAATTGAAATTTACAGAGCATGTGTAGAGGTTCTATCAATTGTTCTCTATAAATTGTATCATTTTCTAATTGAGACAATGCTTCAGCTGCTGTCTCTAGAGTACTCAAGCAGCCTTCTGTTGGTTGAGTTCTTATTATATAGTTGCTTGTATTTGTTGCAGTAAATTTTACTTGTCTTATTTTATGTAAAATTGGACTTGATGCATAAATAGCCTTAGCTTGGGGCCATGTCCCATCTATTAATATAAGATTATAAGAAAGAGCTTGGTGTTCAAGCTCTTTTATGTCTATAGCAGACTTACTTGGATATAAAAGTATAGTATTGGGATGTCTAAGAATACTTTCTAAGTTTTCATGCTTAGGTTGAGGAAATCTTTTCCCCTTAAATATAAGGCACTTGTTATCAACTAAACCAAGTTGTAACATAGGGGCAGTGCGCAGGCATCTTTTTTCTTCAGCAGGATGTTGTAATAATATAACATTACTTCTTGGATTTAACCTCTGTGGTGGCAGAGCTGAACACCAACATACTACTGCTGGTCTTCTGAAAAAATAAAATACACATATTAAAATATAAATGTTCCTATAAAATATATTATGTTTTAGAAAAATCCCAACTTACTTGCACCTTTCACATAATTCACGCATAACAGGTGGATCAGCTGGAATATTAGACAGGTCCTCCCAAACTTCTAACTCATCCATTATTTTAAAAAACGATTTTTTATTCTCTCTTACAAAAAAAACCTCTGCTTTTAATAAAGTACTAATACATGTCATAAAAAGTTTTGTGAGTAGAAGGTAATTGTGAAATATTTTTTATTTTACTTAAAAGTGAACTAAATCACTACATATTTAAATAAAAATATACTTTTCATACGCATTCTCCTATTACATTTGCTCGTTTACCTATCAAAATTCTTGCAATACAAACTTTAATTACCTATATTTACAGTAAAAGTGCAATTAAATAAAAACAAAAAATATCCGTAAATGTGGATAAAACTATACAAAATACAAATTAGTAATTATCTACAAAATTATCAATTCAATATCAATACCTATTGACACTTGACATCCGGCCAAGTGACAGTGTCAGCGTCAGGCATCATCTACTAATTACTAACACAGAGTATAAAATAAAAATTACAGAGAGAACAGCAGAGAACAAGATTTATCACTTTAGAATTAGGAAGAAATAGTACTCATATATACTATAATAGATATTTATTGTATACACAGTAATGGTATTTTCATATCTTTTTAAACAAATAATTATTTAAGCGTGACGACAGTTTCTAGACAAAAGCACTAAAAAGTAAAAAATCACTGATTGGTAGTTTTCATTTACTATACATACCTAATCAAATATTTTCGAAGTCGGTGTGCTTTGGCCAAGTAATTAAAGCCTACCTATTAAATACATACCTAATCAAATATTTTCGAAATCGGTGCCAGCCCATACAAAGCAAAGCACACCGACTTCGAAAATATTTGATTAGGTATGTATAGTAAATGAAAACTACTAATCAATTATTTTTTACTTTTTAGTGCTTTTGTTTGAAGTCGGTTTTTATTTTTTTGTTAAAAAGTTTTTCTTTTACGCAAAAACTAATTTTAACTACTAGATTTATAATGTATAGTAATACATTATTATACTTACATTTACAGTTAACATTTGTAACAAACTTATCAAAGCACCTCGATAGATTTCAGTGTATAATATTATAATAAAACAAATTTTATAACCACTCTATGAGCGTTCCGATTAAAAGGAATATGAAAGGAAATGTCAAATAATAGAAATCAATATTTATTGAAATATTTAGGTAAACTACATACCCAAAAATGTGGTTTAAATTTTTAAATATTTGTATTAAAATTTACTCGTCTTCAGAGTAGAGACATCTAGTAACGTAATAAAGTTACAGTTGTACAATTAGATTTCTAATATTATAATAGATGGCATTCAAAATCCAAAACTTAAAAAATAATTTTCAGCTGAAATACTCGTAATTATTTATTTTTGATTTATATAAATTATTGTAGGCATAAGAAAGAAACATAATGCAATGTTTAATATTAATAATGTACTATAATTATTATATCATTACCAGTTACAAGCTATATAGTATACATCTGACGCCATTTTGCGCCGCAATTTGAACCTATTATTATGATTTCACTCTCTTTCTAGCAAATGTGGCTGACGTATGTGTGAAAGAATAAGCAGCACAATTCTCTAGCTTTCTCCCTTTGTACCTACCTAAATTTTTATGCGAAAGATTTGTAAACATGGTGGCCAGGCAATGTAAAAAATTAGTGCTTTGCTGAATTAATTGGTTTTATTGTGATATCTAAAGGATTATTGAAGTGGTTAGTTTATAAGTATTTTTCCTAAATATAACTAAATACGATTTATAACCTAATAAGTCGATTAAGCTATTTCATTTCGATATATAATGTAAACGTATGCATTTATTTGGCGCCAACGTCGTAAAAAACCGTTAAACCTATTATATTTTATTCTAATGCCACAAACTCAAGTATAATAATAATGTATCTATGAAATTTATTGCTTTTATTATGGAGTGTAGAATGAAGTTTTTAGTTACATGGTGAAATAAAACTGGTCCAACGAGTGTCGTCAGATCTGTCATTCCGACAAATTGGTATTGGAGTTGGAGGAGAAAAGGAAACTATTTTCTGGAAAAACTGTTTATTACTATTGTAATACAATCCGTCCTAACTTTCAGATTATCACAATGTTTACGCTTACTCCATAAGTGAAATGAAGAAATACATACTTTTATATTTTGGAACATCTTGACCAACCTTGAAGTAAGTACTTCATACATCTAGTAGCGTCATTAGATATTAATTCAGCTAGTTAACATTCTGAAATCTTAAGGTGACCGTATAGTTCATAAATTGGGAAAACGGTACATCCTAATCAAATGTCATAATACATTTTATTATAAGCAGCATAAATAAATATTCTCTTTATTATAACACATTTTATGTTAGTATACATACAGGTATACTACCTTTATAATAATTCTCATTTGTTTAAAATATGTTAATTACATAAACCTAACCTCTATAGAATATATTATAATTGACTATTGTAATTTTAGACAAAATTTGATATCCTAATAAGCTAAACATTAAATCTAAATAGAAGCTAGTATAGAAAGGATCTGAAAATGTGAAGATAACACTTTCCTAAATATAATATCTGATAAAGATGTATTTCTCTGTGCAACAATCAAATACTGAAATATAGAGTAATATTTAATGCAATTAATATTTGTTTTTGTTTCAGAAATGGGCACTGAGGTGCCAAAAACGCAAGATTCAAGTGGTGATTCGGATTCAAACAGTGATTCCGAAGTAAGCAATATTTGAAAATAGCTTTTATAATTGTAAAAGATTGCATGTTTTATAAATTGTTTATGTATAGTAAAAATAAAATTTCTAACACAAGTAAATTTTATATCAGAATAACAGAAAATTAAATTAAAAAAATATTGAACTAGGAAATGCTAAATATTAATAATTTTATGTTTTAAATTTTTGTATCATATACATTTTTGTGACATTTAAATTATTCCATTTTACAGAATAGCAGCTCGAGTGAGTCTTCAGGTAGTGATTGGAAATGCTCCAGTAATAAGCAGAATAATAATCGGAAAGCACAATTTTCTGTCACATCTTGTGATACTGGGTTAAAGCTGAAAATCGCCGCCATTCAACCCAGAAAGTCTACTCCCAAAAAATCTGTACAACCTTCAGTAAAGAAAAAACCTAATGAAGCAAAAACAAATGATAAAACTGTCAAGAAAAAATTGTCTGAAAGCAGTTCTAGTTCTGAATCATGTAGTAAATGTTCATCTGATTCATCAAGTGAAGATGACCTGCCCTTAAAGGCAGTTAAGAAGAACCTACCATCTAAATCTTCTCCTCAAAAGACTTCAAAAAATAGGAATACAATCAAAAGTGATAGTGATAAAGAACTTTGTGACAAGGACAGCTCTAAAAACAAGGAAAAGCCGTGTACTTCAAAGACCTCTGTTAATGTGAAAAAGACTAAGAGTGATGAATCTACAGATAGTAATGTGAAGAAAGGGCCGGGAAGACGAGCAAAGGTAAGTCTGTTAATATTTAAGAATATAATTAAAATTAATTATAAAGTGAGTTAGTTGACTGCTGATGTGTACATGAGAATGATATTAAATATGATTATATAGCACCCTAAAAATGTCTATGACCTCTTGTGGTTATTTATAGAAAATGGTGAAGTGTAACTTAATTGCATGAAAGATGGTTCAGTTAAAGTTAAAAGACAACATTTCCATTTCTTTCTGCCTTTAACTACAACTGAAGCTTTGTATGTTGCATTTCAAAATAATCTAGGGTCAAAATCAGTAGTTTTTTTAAAGGCAGCAAATTATCTGCTTTTCTTATGTTTCTTTTCATATCTTTAAACTTTAAAATTCTTTATAACAAATCTTTGATATATCACATGCTACCTTAAAAATTAATAATTGTGAATATTTACCAATTTAAACTTTCAGTAGCTTCAATTTAAAAATACTGTAACAAACAAACATACAACTGATCCTCTAAAGATTCAATTTATTATATATTTTATTGGGTACAGAATCCCAAAAAAAAAACATCCTTTTAAAACTTTTAAATCCTTTTTCAAGCTGAGTGTTGCATAAAAGGATCAAATTGTGGGAAGTCATGTCAAATAAAAAAAGATCAGTAGGACTTGCTTGAAGAGAGTTCCATATTATGAGAAAGTGAGTTAAATTTCATTTGGAATTTTAAAGATATTAAAAAGTTTGTTATCATGGAAACATTCGCATTATTGCAATTTTTGTGGTTTTGTGGTGCATTTTGATAGTGATTATGATTTAATAGTAATTTAGATGATGCATACTATCAGCAGGAAATAACAAAATTACTCTAATTAATTATAAATACCATTATATTTATCAATTATCTATATGTATTTTGTTTTTATGTAACATTCTATTATATTTTATTTTTATATAATAGCGACTCATACTTGCTTCGGTCGGGTTTTAACAGTTAGTATGTAATAGATAGACTATATTGTATATATGCATAGGATGAGTTATTGTGGGTTGTATTATAACGTGGTCTCCCATGGGAATGAGATGATCTCCCTCGGTTAGGTTACTCTTCAGCCCTCCAACTATCTCCATACAAAAATCGCGCCAATCCGGTACTCTTTTTCGATGTTAAAGAAGGACAAACAAACACACTTTCTCATTTATTATATTAATTATAATTATTATGAACTAGCGACTTACTCTCGCTTCGCATGGGTGCGTTCCTAGGTATGTTTTAATTTTTTTGAGTGTAACCCTAATTATTGTTTTGAAATACAAGTAGCCTAAGGTACTTAAACATATCTGCCATAATTCCCGTCAAAATCAGTCCAGCTGTTGTACAAACGACCAGACATAATTGTTTTTTAAATATTATGTTTTTTTATAAGTAGTACCTTATATAATTTTATATGCATTTAGTAAAAAGCTGTTATTTAGACATTACAAACAGACACGTCAATTCTATTTATTTGTATAGATAAGGCAACATTTGATGATTATGGTTTTGAAAATTATGCAGATAAACATAATATTACGAGCTACTTATTTATATGTACATGACACATTCATAATTTTATTTTGTTTGTCTTTTAGTGTAAAAAAAATTTTACAAACGTCAAACAGAACAATGGGTTGTTAAGCTTAATTTATACATTAAAAATTTTTTTTAATTAAATTAATTATATTAATTAAATTAAGAGTTAGGCACAAGGTAGATCTTATATTAGATACACTTATATTTCTCATATATTTTCTATATCTTTGTTGTACCATGTGGTCTCATGACGAACATAAAAAATTAGTTCAGAAAATGTCAATAGATGACGTCATATATATCGATTTGTTATGAAAGTTGTGTTAAATAAAAAAAAAATTAGATACCAAAAAGGCATAAATATCATTGTTTCAAAAATTATTCTAACTGAAGAAAAAAAAACAATGCGCCCGTAAATCTGCGTAATTTTACCGATTATTGAAATATCAGCTATCATCAATGAAATCAAAAATAAAAAAATCTAAAAACTATAGATTCGGCCTCTGTATCGATAAAATGACTATTTCAATAAGGTTTTCCAAAAAATATTTAATGTACAGATTCGATTCAGTTAGAATTTTATTATACCTAAGTATTATAGACTAGCTTTACCCGCCCGCTTTGATGGGCGGGTGTATGTAAATGTTTCTTTTGGTCTTCAGAGACCTTAAATGTAAATTTAGGTTTTTCGCTTATATATTAAGTGTTTAGGTTACATAAAAAAAAAACAAATGAATAAAAAAGTGTAATGTTTTTTGTTTTTATTGGCGTGAAAAAATATGTCAATAAAACAGTCGGTCAAGTGCGAGTCTGGCTCGCACACCGAGAGTTTCGTAGCATGAAACATTAAAATAAGTTAATAATGGAAAAAATATTTTTTATTCATGTAAAAATTTTCCGTTTTCTAGTGTTATAAGCCACTGCTTCTTGCCAAATTTCATGATTCTAGGTCAACGGGAAGTACCTTATAGGTTTGAATTTCCTTGCAAGTGTCAAAATATGCAGTATAAACGGCCGTATCTTTTCCAACAGACAGACAGGCGTCTGTCTGTCAATACTTTTTTTTCAGAGTCAGACAGACAGAACCCCTCAAAATGGTGAAAAATGTTTGGAATTCAAAAAATAAATAGCCTCAACCTACAAACTATCCCACAGTCCTGACTGTCCAACTGTGATACGTTCAGTAGCTTTTACGTGATGGCGTGACTAAGGAAAAATCGTTTATATGTTAATCTATACATATAATAAAATTGTAACTAAGCCGAATCTGTACATTAAATATTTTTTGGAAAATCTTATTGGAATAAACATTATTATCGATACAGAGGCAGAATCTATTGTTTTTAGAATTTTTGTACGCTGTTACCGCATCACGAGAAAACTACTGGACAGATTTTGATGAAATTTGGCATGGTGATCGCTGGTTATCCGGGTCAACATATAGGATACTTTTTAATGCGGGAAAATATCTCATTTCTGAGAAAAAACTACAAAAACTGCAATGTTAGAGTATACTAATATATAAAACCTAAGAATTTGGTTTCTGTCATCTGATCTCGGGCGGAACCGCGGGCAATGCTAGTAATTAATACTAGATACTTAAGGTAACAATGAAATCAAATCTCATTCTAGAACTTTACGTTTCGACATACTTGGCTTAATTTTTTTTATGAAATGACTAATTTTATATTCCAAATGTGACATACATGTTAATCATACTTCCAAAGTTCCAAATGATTCATTGAGAACAATGTATTCTTTAAATTACCAATAACACTTCAATGCCAAGCGTTTTTTTTGGATTATCGAATAAACCATACAGATACACAGATTAGGTACTGTATTCCTGTAGGTGATACTTGAGAAATAATCTGTATAAATATAATTAATATGAATAAGTATATCTATGTTTATTCTTTAACTTGTACTCTTTAAAAAATTCAATCCGGTTTATATGGAGGGGACATTTAAATGTAAAGGGTTACCTTGTGCTCCGACTTAAAAGTTACCCCAATTTCTTTGTTATTGTCCATCTTATACATTTTATTATTGCGTAAGTACTTATTCTTGTTTACCGCATATAATGTGAAATGTAAAGGAATGATATGATTTCATTCATACCCTTTGAGGGACCCCACGTACAACTATTGTGATATATACGAGGTATTATTGGTGGGTCGGGGTATATGGGTTTAGTTTTAATAGCTGTAACAAATTGTATCACAACGTGCTTATTTAATACAGTCAACTTATCTTCTGATCTATTAGAACGTTTGGTGGGAATTCGGTTGTAAATTGTCTGATTTTAGATTTGTTTGTTTATTATTAACCATAAAAACTTTAACAAAAAAATTTAAACCGACTTCAAATAAAAACACTAAAAAGTAAAAATAACTGATTGGTAGTTTTCATTTACTATACATATCTAATGAAATATTTTCGAAGTCGGTGTGCTTTGCTTTGTATCGGCTGGCACCGACTTATGCATATATGGAGTATTTTTGTTTATGAAATTTGAATGGAACCAATCTGGAAGTATACACTTTCAAACAAAACAAAAATTGTCCAAATCAGTTAATAAATGACGGAGTTCTGAGGTAACAAACATAAAAAAAAACATACAGCCGAATTGGGAACCTCCTCCTTTTTGAGGAAGTTGGTTGAAAACACACCTGTGGCTTAAATGTAGTTTATGTAAAAACACTGTTACAGGTTTGTTCTATTGTACATTTGTATAAATTATATTTAAGTGATAAACAATGGCAACAAATTAAAAATCACAATATGAAATAGAAATATATAAGTACCAATCAATAGATTCGACACGTTGCGTTCCACGTGAGTAGATGAAAACGCGCATGTCGCAAATTCCGAGTATTGAGATGATATATTGCGCATGCAATGTACATATTTATATTTTTTCGTCGGTTCTTTTTATTTAATTTTTCTTACATAAAACATTCATGCTGCATAGAGATACCATTTAAGAGATTTATAAAATACTAGCATTGCCCGCGGCTTCGCCCGCATTCAGATGACCAAAAATCAAAATTTTAAGATAAGTGCACTCTTACATTGCAGTTTTTGCATTTTTTCTCAAAAATGAGATATTTTCCCGCGGTAAAAAGGATCCTATATGTTGACCCGGATAACCAGCTATCACCATACCAAATTTCATTAAAATCCCTTCAGTGGATTTTCTGTGATACGGTAACAGACAGACAGACAGACAAATTCTAAAAACCATAGATTCGGCCCCTGTATCATGATTTTCCAAAAAATTATAATGTACAGATTCGGCTTATTTACAATTTTATTATATGTATATAGTGACTCATTCCGCTTGGATTCGTCCCTAAGAACGTTTTCACGGTTAGTATAGATTTCTCAGAGATGAGATATTTTCCTACAGTAAAAGTATTCTATATGTTGACCCAGCTATCATCATACCAAATTTCATCAAAATCTGTCCAATGGTTTTTTCGTGATGCGTTCTCAGACGGACAAATATTCTAAAAAGTATAGATTCTGCCTCTATCGATAATAATGGTTATTTCAATAATATTTTAAAAAATATATTTCATGTACAGACGGATTCGACTTAGAATTTTATTATATGCATAGACGACTAGACGACCTAGCGTCTACTTATAGCGTCCCTAGGTACGTTTTAAATAGATAAAAATAGTTATTGTGAGAGTACTTTAGGAGATAGACCCATGCTAATAGCAGACTTTTCTGTAGGATTTTTAAGGTTTACAATTTTCTAGTACATTATTTTGATGAAATGTTCTCCGTTTCTCTGCGAGTGATTAATAATTATAAATCTGTTAAATTGGTTAAGGAATAATACTGTATTGTTTAAAATAGCTTCGTAAAAACTCATAATTTTTTACTCATTTTTCAAAGATAAAAATGGTTACTTGTGGGTTATCCTTAGAAGATAGTTATATATATACCTATACCATTGCCGTTCATTAGTATTCTATAGTACATTATTTTGATCTATCTCGTAAGATTTAACCAGCGTTAGCAATGTAAGCGGACAAAAATATTTTTTACGACATCATTACAAATCTTTTAAATTCTCGGTTTTTCTCTACTACAATATGCATTTATTACGCATATAAACCTTCCGGTCCTTCTCTATATGATAGTGAGAATCCTATCAAAACCCGTTTCGTGGTTTAGAAGGTGTTAGCGGAGAGACAGACAGACAAAAAGGAGTTTGCTTTATACCTATTGTGTTAGATCTAGATAGGTATTTCAAAATATTATTGGCCAATAATCATTTAGAAACCTATAGCCGATACTATCCCGTCTGGTCACACCCGTCTGCTTTTTTTAAACACCTCTTTTCTAGGGACTGAATTTCATCGCTTTTAGTGATCCAATTTCAAAAATTCCTTGAGTAATACACCAAAAATCATAAGGATAATTTGTTATTCAGTAAAAAAGGGATTTACATACACATTTGTATTAAATATTATGTACAGAAATTATATTTTTTTAATTTGAAAAATATGAATGAATGACCAGGGTTACGCTGTAGATGTGTCTAATTAATATTGGATTATATGAAAGGCGTAGCAGTGGCTTTGACTTCTGCTTGATATCAAATATTTGTCCCTGTTTAGATAAAACAAAGTCCAATCTTAGGTTCATTCTTACATGGCTTGGGAGATGCTGGAATGCGCAGCCTAATCTATATATATATAAAAATCAATTGCTGTTCGTTAGTCTAGCTAAAACTCAAAAACGGCTCGATCGATTTGAATAATTCTTTGTTTTGATAGGGGTGTGTCAGGGTGGTTTAAAAAAAAAGAAGGAAAATCCAAAAAAACTGCTGGAAATTCGAAAACTTTAGAGATGTTTATTTTGTATGGGAATCACTAACCGCTAAAACGTACCTAGCGAAGAACCCGAGCGAAGCGAGGGTGAGTTGCTAGTAAGGAATAACTATATATACTTTCTGTCTATAGCGCAACGTGTTAATGTACAAGTAAATAATGTATCGCATATTTAATTAGTTATTGGCGTACTTCGTGAATAAAATTAATCTATTATTAATTTACTTGAAGAGAAAGTAGGCTTATGATTTCATTTTGTGACCTAATTCCTTGCAGCCGTTGCCATAGATTACAGTTAAAGTACAAAATAAACATATTTTTATATTTGGCTGCTTTTTTGTTATTTTTCTATCTTTTTTTTTTACTTTGGTAAATCTGAATTTGTTATTATTCAAACATCATATTTATCTTTTTTGTCATTACGATCAAGATCTCGCACAAACCTTACGGACTGTTTTTGCAAACAATAAAACATTCATCATTGGATCCATGCTTAAGTGGAAAATTTTCATGAGTTTCTAGAGTAGCCTGCAAAATGCTCGAAAATAGGAAACCTTATGAGTGTAAGGTCAAGGTATACAAGGGGTGGATCTTTTTGTAATGCGATATTAAAAGTACATAGTTGTAGTTATCTATACTTATTATAAAAATAAGTCCCCCTTATTTTCAAAGTTCTTTAGTTCGGTATTAATCCTTATCCAAATGAATATTTTAGTTAGCTTAGTCATTTAATGCAGATTAAAATTGCTCTTTACACTAAATCAATCAGATGAATAGTTTTTGAGATATCGTTGTTAGAAGTAATTAGTAGCGAAACATTTTTAATGCTTTAAGAAATAGTAAGTAGTTAGAGCCAGAACTCACGCCCCAGATTGCTATTTTTGCATCATACATACCTACTAATATGTTACGATATGTGAGTGAGATCATTTTAACGGTTCTAGAATTACCTACTTATTTCAATTTTCATATTACCAGTATCTACTTCGTATTACTGATGATATTATATCAATTAGATTTCCATTTTGAACTAATACTTCTTAGGTAGAAGAGAAAGTGTATAGTAAATTCTTAAATTTATATAGGTAATTAAGAATAGAGAGTTATATCAATATTAAAAACATTAAGAAAACTAATAATAGAAACTATTATGATCTGTAGATATGTACATATTAGCACCGCCCACAACTAATCTGTGAGTAGGTCATTCACTTCGAGTCCGAATAAAATGCTCATTGTTAGCGTTGACGAATAAAGTCCACACAGAGATAGATTTATTGCTCTGACTTTCAGGACATCAGTCTGAGTAGTGAGTATACATTATTATAGTCGAATGAAGATTTGTAAACGGGTGTTGCTTTTATACCGTGTAGATATTTCATATAAGAATATTTTATGAGAATTCATAAAAAAAAATTAAAGATCATAACTGACATGGACTGTGACACATAATAGAGTACGATAAACATAAGTAATGGTGTGGTAGTGAGTAGGTCGGGTGGTAGAGCGTGCCGCGGCGTAAGGGTAGGTGTGCACCGTGCTGCATTTAATTAAGCCGGTGTGTTCGCGTGCGGGCGCCGGTCGTGCACTTCCGGCGCGCCCCAGGGGCGCTGCGCTTTTTCCTCGCGAGGGAGGCCGCGATCGTGGAAAGCGCGACCGGTCGTCACCCGAGGAATTAAAATTTTTCACGTAAACTGGTTTGATAGCGCGTACTGAGGCGGAGTGGGGATCGCGAATACGCGTCGCGCCGGTCATTAGCTGGCTCGCGGCGAGGCGCGCGCGCGTATATAGGTACTTCTGCGTGTGCGTGCATATTCGCGCCATACGTCGCGATCGTGTATGTGATGTGTAAATAAAGTGTTTGGTGTGGAGTTTGTGAAATAATAACTAGGTACTTTAATGGAATTGTGTAATGTTTTGTTAAATATTATTAAAATTAATTTTAAAATTTACATTACACTTTGATGGGACATAGTTTTTTTTTATCAGTTTATTAAAGCTTTTTCGATTGTAATAATAAAATTTTAAGTATTTTTGCGATGCTAGGATTAATGATAAATAATAGTATGACCGTTTATAATTGATAGAATTGCAAGTTTATTAAATCTCAATTGCTATCTTTGAATTATTATGCGTACCAACATCGCGAAATGTCGCACAAAACAAACAACGTGATAAGCGAGCGAGAGCGACACTGTTGTGGCGACCGCCGAAATTCTCTTATCAATCCCTTAGCGCAGACAAGGTCGCGCCTTATCACTCTCATTCGTGCGGATCCGATGGATTTGTTCTGTGATTGTGCGGATCGCTCCAAATTAGCCATTTTTTTCACTGATTTTACTAGAAGGTTTAAATAATTTAAAGTTCTTACAGTTTGTCTATTATTTTAACTAAATTGTAGTTTAGATTTTCATTTTCTACGAAACACTATATTGTTAAAATATGTAAGTTTTTAGATATTTTGTTAATTTTATATTTCTTTATTTATCGTGAATGATAAGTGTAAAATGCGATAATGAAACTATGTCTAGTCAAATAAGTGTATGTGAACATATTATATCACGAAATTAAAAAGCGCATGTCGATATTTAAGTAATTGTTTACAAACCGAAATTGATTTTAGCATAGCTCGCTATGTAGATCGCGACCCAGTTGCGCGTGATTGAGGATAAAACAATATAAATAGCTCGTCAACGCTCGGACGTGAGCGAGAGCGTAACTAGACCGCTGAAAGCAGTGTGTGCGAGTGATAAGTGAGATTAGTGCATTGTGATGTTGGCATGATGCGGCACGCGGCCACCTCCGCAGCCTGGACCGCTCCCGGCGAAGTATGGGAATACGTCAGCCAACTCGTCAGCTCGTACCACGACCAACACGATTGCCAGGTGCGAACACTTCCCCTCACACAGCAAACAGTGTCGAGTCAACACAAAACTACTCCACCGTATCAATAACAACATTAGTACGCACGCACATGTGACTTAAATTAGCCATTCATGTTATTTACATAGTGCATTTTGTATTTTTATCTATCAATTTTTGAAGATTATTTTTACTTAATTAGTGATCGTTATAAAGATAATATCATTAGGAAGTGACGCCAATCATATCGTATGCATATTGTTTACAATTATGACGTAATTTTTTGTAATGCCAATAGCCATTTCATGATCCAAAAAATCCCGTATTACATACATATAATTAATTATATATTATACTAGCATTGCCCGCGGCTCCGCCTGCGTTCAGATGACCAAAAACCAAATTCTTAGGTTTTACACATTAGTATACTCTTACATTGCAGTTCTTGTATTTTTTCTCAAAAATTAGATATTTTCCCGCGGTAAAAAGTATCCTATATGTTGACCCGGATAACCAGCTATCATCATACCAAATTTCATCAAAATCCCTCCAGTGGTTTTTATGTGATGCGGTAATAGACAGACAGACAAAAATTCTAAAAACTATAGATTCGGCCTGTGTATCGATAATGTCTATTTCAATAAGATTTTCCAAAAAATATTTCATGTACAGATTCGGCTTAGTTACAATTTTATTATATGTACCTATAGATGTATATGTTTAAATTCTAAATCTAAAAGCTGTCTAAGTTTTTGAAATATATAACCATAGAATCTTCATAATGAATTATAAATACATGACATAATCGCTCTCATCAATAAAGGCATAGGTAATATATACAATATACATACATACTCGTATATTCCATTATTATTTGGTTATCTAAACTTCATTAAAACTATGATATAACGTAATTGTTTTTGTTCGCTTCTGTTCGTTGAACCTATTTTTAAAAGCAAGCAATAAACGCCACCTAATAGACGGATCAAACTTGCTTCATTTGACCATGAAATTGTGATCGAGCGAGCGTGACCGCGTCGCGTGTTTAAGACATAGTGAGCATACGTCCATATAGATGTTTATGAGAGTCTTAGAAAATTATTAGATTTTACATCTGTAAAAAAGAATTTTAAGCCCCAACTCGTCAAATTATCTTCTAATCATTGCGTATCAGAATTTATTGCAGTTAAAACGATTGCAATGTGTGGGCGAGTGTTCCATTCCACTCATCCAACTAATCAATTTAAATGAATATATCTTAAGGTCAAGCTTTTGCTTGTCATATCTTTATATATATAATTCTTCTGTGAGTGTGTATGTCACTGAACTTCTCTCTAACGACTGGACCGATTTTGATGAAATTTTTGTGTGTGTTCAAGGGGATCTGGGAATGGTTTAGATTCACAATTTGAATAATAATTTTCATCGAAAAAAATTATTAAAAAAAGTTTGAAATTTTCAAATTAAAGACGTGTAGACAGGACAACGTCTGTCGGGTCCGCTAGTGATATATATTTTGTTATTAGTAAACTAAAAAAAAACTCTTAAGTAACACCACAGTACTAATTGCAATCGTTAATGTATTTTAAAGATCTAATCAATTATTATTCAAGATAATCTATAACTTTTAATTGAACTATAAACATTTAGGTTATATTATATTAAAAATATTATTGTAATATTTTTTATTGTTAAAATGATACTGACCGATTGAAGGTAGTTCTATTTTAACTAATATTAATAACATCACATCTCGATTATTATTTGTAAATTATCATTACTCAATATCTGATTATTTAAGATCGACATTGAACTCGTTATTTTATAATTGCTGTAAATCAATTTCCAGATACGAGTTTTTATAATGATGGAACGCGTAGTGACTAATGAATGTATTAATAACGTTGTGTCCGACTCTATAGACATTTGTCATTACCACTCCTGGTAATAGGGGTTTTTTGCTGTATAACTAGATCATTCATTATAAAAGAAAATGGAGGAATGCGATGTGCCGGCAGACCTAAGTCTCGCTACTGATTGATGTACGTCGCCGTTAAAGCTCTGTAGATTTTATCTTGGTATCTAATAGCTTTAACGAGATTACGGTACCTTTCGAGTTCAATTTACATCTCTTCCTGATTATTATCGAATATCGAATCGATCGGCGTTATCAATGTTTATCTCGGCAGATGTGTTGAACGTGGCACAATAAATTATATTTCCATCAATATTTCCTTGTTCTGTAATGTTTCATTATACGCTATTGTGACACGTCTTTTATTGCGACGACTTTAACGACCGATTATGCAATACGTTAGTTTCATCTAAAGATGGCGGTGATTCAATGAGTTGTTTACCGATAAGAACTCTGTTAGGTATTATTTAAATATTCATTCTTAACTTCATAATGAAATAAAAACTCGTCCAAGAATATACCTATTTATATTTGAAAAGATCTATTTTCAATATCTTTATAATTTTTTCCTTATACTTTTTAATACTCTATTCATTTGTAATTAATAATTGCTATGATTTTTCATTTCTCTAAATAAGATGTATCGTTAATATTAAATTAAAGTGAACATTTGCAACGTTTATTCGTGTGGTGCGTGCTTACATTAATGGCAGCGTGGCTCAGACGTAGCGGTCGTATTGCATTTTGCGGTATTTGACGAGTGTTGAATTTGCAGACGCGCTTATGACGGCAGCGGGAGGAGATGGTAACTTAAACCGGTTGGACACCTTTAACGTGGCGACTGCCGGCTTTTGGTGACATCCGCAAAAAGTGCACGAACACATACACAATTTTCGGTATTACTAATTTATTTGTCGATCTTCAAGTTCAATGCTAAAGAACGGTTTCTAAACATTGCATCATTAGGCGATGCATTGATTTCATTTCTGTCGATTTGCTATTTAAACCGGTTACACTCTTGTTTGTATTGCTGGTCGATTACGGACTCTTATCTTTTGCTCACAGACGATGCAATGGTATGGGCTCACTTGCCAATAGAGTTGGATAATAATGATTCTATTAAAATAACTGATTCGACATCTATCGGACTTCGTGCATTCCTTAATGATGTAAAAGAATATTTATGATTATCATGTAAATTGTATTACGAATACTATACTTTCCGTACGAAAGATGCGTAAAGCGGGACAGGTAAATGTTGTGAGGGAATGCAGTTTGATTGTGAGTGAGGGCGTTCGACACGTTTGCGCTCGCACTTGGTCACATCGATTAAATGCACCATTACTGCTTGCTTATATATTCAATCAGTCTCTTTTATAAAGTATTCTGCCGACCCTCATACGGGTCTTTTGTATTAATAAACGCTTTCAATCAGGCTCCTCATGTGCCAATTAAATATTTATGACGGCCTTCTTCTGTATTTAGCGGTGTCTCAAAGTTTTATAGTCTTGTTTTACGAGAGTGCCTTTCCGGCTCATTGGGTTCCATCGGCCCACGGCTCTTACGTAATTGTTAATTTTTAATTTATTCTCCATATTTATCTTGTTGAAATAAATGTCATCTAACGTGTCGTTAATTATACTTCCATATGTAAACTTTGCGGTTAGAGTGGGTGTGTAATTTGTATGTCTTGGTGATTTATCTTATATAAGTGTTAAGTTGTTATATGAGTTTAAATGGTAGAAACAAGGGTTATTGCGTAATAACAGCGCGTCAAGTAGGTGCACTGGGAATCGGGATAAGCCGGTCCAACGGCCATCTTAGCTCTACGTCGTTTAATAAAGCCCCTGCGACAACTGCACGCCTCAATAGGGCTGACAGCCATGATATACCTGTTTGCATAAGAGTACGTTCGAGGAGCATTGAATATAAATCGCCTGTTATCATATCTATGCTGCATACACGATCGCTTATTTTTATATTAAGTTTACTTTTTCCCACGCCGTTATATTTAGATATTTTTAATTTATGCTGCGCTGGTATTATA